TGTGGTCACTATCTTTTGCCACTTCGTGGTCCAGTCTCGAGTTGGCATGTTCCCYTGAGAGCATGTGTACACCTCATTCATGGCCGCCTTCACGACGTTGCGGACCATGAACCGGGTGAACCATAGTTGCTCGAACTCCTTCCACGTGATGTGCGTGTGGAGTTCGGCGATGGTGCACTTGTGGGTGGCCGCCAGGTGGTTCATCCATGYCTGCGCTCCTCCAATCAGTTGCAAATAGAGTGCCTTCAACATGTCATTGGCCGGGACAGTGCGGCATGACGCTTCCGTGAGGAAACGTTGCCACCATGTCAAAGCGTCCGACTTGTTGTAGTCGTCGAACTTGCAGATGTCGAAGTGCGGCATCTTGAATGTCTTTGTAGCGGCGTCCGGTCTCGTCTGTAGCTTGGTGATGTCCGTCTTGAGGGCGGACACCGTGCTGCTGATCGTGTCCGGTCCGTTGAAAACACCTATGTCGCCGATGATGGTGACGACGTGATCGATGCGTTCATTGATTTGCTTCATCGCGTCCGTTGTGCAGCCTGGCGCTGCTGAGGCCTTGGCCTCAATGCCGTTGATGCGTGCGATGGTAGAGTTCATCAGTTGTTGCTGTTGCTGCTGCTGCACAGCTGCGTCGTGGACGTCGGCCGTTACAGCGGCCAGGTCTTGCTGGTACTGCTGTCTTTGCTGACGATCCGCGTGCAGGTGTGCCTGCAGTAGTTTATTGTTCCACATTACTCCCCTCATTACGTTCAACATCACGATAGCCAGGTTACTTCTCTCTGCCTCCGCCTGTGTCGGCTCCGCCTGCGTTTCCGTAGGCACAAAGATCATGCCTTGGAGTACCGTTGTCCACTGATGCTCACTAGCAATCAGGGACTCCGTGCTGGCGGCATTCCGTTTGTTTCGTGCCGCTTCGTCAGTCTCAGCTGTCCGCTGAGCTTCGACTGTCGCTTCGTTGGCCAGCCGCTGACGTTCTGCTTCTGCCGCAGCCTGCTGAGCCTCGGCGGCGGCTACGGCGTCTGTAAATGCCTGTAGCCGCCCACGATAGTCAGCCCAAGACTCGCTGGCCTCTCGGACCGGGCATGCGGGAAAATCTCCGGTGGTGTCTTGTACTATCAATGCCGTACTTGATGCCGCTGGAGTCGTCCGTCTGCTGAATCTCTTGGGTCTTGGAGGTACCGCAGGGCGGGCACGAACTGCGATCCTGGCACTGTGCCGTGGCAGTGCCCCGGTGTCCTGTTCCGTCGACATCAGTCTGAACTGATGCGGTACTTGAGAGGTGCCGGTGTTCACAGACTACAGGGGGGTAGGTAGAGTGGGAACAGGGGTAGAACAATCAAGCAATATGCATACAATCCCCTGTCCCACTGATGGACTGTAGACACCTAATCAAACAGGAAAAAAAAAAACAAATTCCCGTAAACCCTTCAAAAAATTCGTAATAAGGAATTAATAACGATTTAATCAATAAAATTAATTAATGATAATTAACGAAATAAATCCGAATGATAATCAGTAAAACAATGTTTGTAATAAAGATAACTGCAGTAACCCTGTTCAACAGCAGACCGGGGCTCAGAACTTTGCCCCCGGTAAGACACAGACTCAGTTGTCTGTGCTGGGCTATGTGACCGAGACATGCCCAGCCTGAGTCTGTCGAGGAGGCTGTGTGACCAAACGCAGCACAAGGGAAATTCAACAGTCAAAGACAACTGTAGAGTCAAAGGTACCGTACCCAGGCCTATGGACGGATACATTCACTTGTTGTGTGCAGGTACCCAGACAGCATTCAGGGCGGGAGAAATACAGTTTCTGGCCGATCTGGGCCCTCATTCATATCGAGATCTGGACGGTGGGGTCCAGACCCCGCATCCACGCTATTTAAGAGTTGACTTCCTGGCTGGAAAACATTCAGTCTTGCGTGAATGCTGACTTCACGCGTGGACTTGACGCTGTTGCTATGCTGCGACATTGCGACATTGGCTTGACGCCGGCTATATGCTGGCAGAGGAGGACAGCAAGGCGCTGCTGGATGGCGATGGTCTTCTGGGCATGCTGACGTGGCAGCTGCCACGCGCCGTTGCTGACGTGGCCGCCGCCACCTGTATATGATTGATGACGTGGCTGGCTGCGAGGTTGATGAGGCTGTTCTGATTCTTCGTCACTTCGGAAGGAGATMAAGACTGTGGTTATCGAGGATACGTACCTGGTTGATGACGATACTCTCCATTTGCTGATGTAGACAGATTGACGTGCCACGTGGCACCTTGAGGAGGAACTTCAGACATTGTATTCAGTCTATTGATTGATGAGGTGGCGAGGAGGAGGAGGAATCCGAAGTAGAAGTGGGCTGTTGTCTTCTTCTCTCTCCTTTGTCTATTCTCCCTCTCTCCTACTTCGTCTGTGTATGATTCTCACCTCATTCTATCATCACACATATTACGATTGTTTGTCATTTCATCAGCAGATCGATAATCATAGGGACTGGTAATGTTGACGAGT